TTTGAGTTTAAAACTCAGTAAAAAACAGTATTTTACTCGGGCAGTTTTCGGTTTTTTACTCATATAGTTATAAACCGATTATTTTTACAAGAAACACCCGCCCCGCCGTCCGCCGTCATTTGAACTTCCGCGCGCGTGCAGGTTCAGACTGCCCTCGTTGACACCTGACGATTGCTGCCCCCTAGCGGCAGTCCGAAGAAGTCACACAAATCCGAGCTGGGCATCGCGTATGTTTGTTATGGGGTAGTCATTCGTAGTGCTAAATCTAAATTAAGAGCAAACCAAAGGGGTTTTGTTCTACCTAGGAGTGCCAATAATGTTGTACGTTTATGGAAGTCCTGTCATGAGAATACCAAGAACTGTCAACATGGTATTTGTTATTAATTTCGTCTGGATGTTTTAGGTAAGTAACCTATCTTTTCATGCTTGTCCTACTCTGATTTTTCTTTCACCTGTTGTATTTGATATTCCTCTGATTGTCCTGGTCTGCCTTCCTCTTCTATTTCTTTTAAACTAATAGCATTTCTAATGTCCATATTTTTTTCTAGGTTGTGGTGCTTATGTTAGTAAGACATTGAAGTGTGTGGAGTAGAGATGAACCGTTTGGCAGCATAGCTGCTTGTCTGAAAGGAAAATAATTTGACTGCTGCAGCTACACCTTTGTAAATTTTTAAATGCTTTTCATAGTCATTAATTTATAGTACATTTTGTGTTCCTTGAAATAAAGCACTAGGAGATAAAAACTTTGAAATGTTTTATTTATCATGTAAATGTCAAACAAAAATACTAAGCACAGAGAAGTACGGAATTCTCATAACTTAAACTCCAGTGGATTGTGAGAAATATCGCTAATTATCACAGTGTGATATACAATCAAGATCGAACGATGGTTCACATTTATAATTTTCTCCTCGTGACGTCCTTTTGAATTGTAGAAATATTAAAAGATAAAATACGTGTTACACAATAGCTTGCATAAATGAATATATATGAACTAAATAAATGAACAAAGACAAAACATGCAAGTGATGTAAAGTAAACAATAGAACAAGTTAAATATTACATGCATAAATATTTAAAATCTACTTTCAGGTAAAGAAATTATCACTTTCACTTACATTATAGAACTTTGAACATAAAATATGTGTAGCACAGTAGCATGTTTAAATGAATATATAGGAACTAAATAAATGGACAGAACATAAAAGTGAAGTGAGTTAAACAATAAGTTATATAAAGTTTAATATTATATAAAAATATTTAAGATCAACATTCAGATAAAGAAAGCTAATCATCATCACTTTCACTCAGAGTGGAACATTCACTTTCACTTGCACTTTGAACTGAGTCAGAATCACTGTTATATGAAGAGGCAGCACTTTCATTTTCTGAATCTGATTGATTCCCCTCAGATCCAGCATCATTATCTTCAATGGCTCCATTCCCCTCAGGTCCAGCATCATTATCTTCTTCAATGGCTCTATCATTTATGTCAACATCAAATATCAGTCCATCTTCAATAGTACAACAGTTCATCTTTGGTTTATCACCACTAGAAACACTACTAAAAAGTTTTAAATTACTTTTTATTTGTACTAATTTGGTAACTCTTTCCACTGCAAGTTTGTTTCTCTTTTTGGTATGGGTATTAGAATATCCTGACCACACCCGCTCACAAGCAGCGGCTGAGGCAGGTAGGGATAAAATTCTACAGGCCAGTGGGCAGAGAGGTTCATCTGCGCATATACCTTTCCACCAAGATGAGGGCGTACAGTGGTTTGCAGCAGACCAAATACTGTGAAAAGAACCTGTGTTTGTTTCTTTTACTGCCCAAATACCTTCACTGTTTCTAAACCTAGCAAGATTGCTTATCACTAGTCCACAGTCATAATTTAGATGCGTGCACATTTCACTTATGAATGTTATTGCTAGTTGTATCTGGTTGGGAGTTAATACCTTGCCACGGTAAATAGGATGCAACAAATTAGCAGCAAGGTGTACAGGTTTTACTATAAATACACATCTTTTCTTTACTAATTCTTCCACTCTGACCATGTCATGCATATTAAAATCTTCTGCTGCATTTAAAATTTGAGTCTTCATTTTAGCCAAAGCAGTTACAACATCAGCAACATTAGCTGAATCTCCTTCCAAGTAAGTAATAGTATCAGTTATTGGAGACAACAAATCACAGCCACATTTCACAGCATCCCAGAAGTCATCGTCTAACACTGTTGTTTTTGCTTTCTTACTGACAGAAACCCGTTGGTCAATAACCGTTTCTTGAAGCACAGATTTATTTTCTAGAAGGGACTTGAGCATATCAGTTGTACCAGACCACCTGGTCTTACCTGGTAATTTAAGTGACTTTCCTTTTCCACTTCCAAATTTGATTTTTTGTTTCTTCTTGAAAATTGCATGGGGCACATGATGATTTTTTATATCTTTCACAATAGTCTTGGAGTTTTTCAATATGCTGCTAAATTTTCCTACTTTTCCTAGAATGTCTTTTACGAGAAGATTTAGTCCATGGGCTGCACAGCCATAGCAAGAAATGTGAGGATATTTTGCTGATATTAAATTGTGTGCTAGCTTCATAGACGATGCGTTGTCAGTGCACACCCCCATTACTTTTTTGGAATCAAATTTTTTTATTACTTTTTCAATGGCATCAAATATCCATTTACCAGTTTCTCTATCTTCTCCTGGCTCCACAGCTTCAATGAAAACTGGTTCCGGGGTAGTCACAACAAAATTGACAACATTTTCTCCTCTAATGTTAGACCACCCATCTGTCAATATGCACACACTAGTAGCCTCTTCTATTTTCTCTTCACACTTTGTCTTAATACGTTCATGCTCTGCATTTAAAAGTGGAGTAGAAAAACAATAAGTAGATGGAACTTTAAATGCGGGTCGAAGAGCTTTAAAAAAATTCTCCCAGTGCTCATTCTCAAACGCTGATAATGGTATGTCAGTGGCAAACATGGCTCTCGCTAGCAGAGTCTGCAGTTTGTCTTGCTCCCCTTCCTTTAATTTATCTAAAAAAACTTGTCATTTTCAGGCTTCTTGTTGTTGCAGAATTGGCTGTTGAGTACACTGGCGCAGTTGAGGATGATGAACCTGAAGCCTCTGATTGAAGTTGGGACACATTCTCAGGCGTTGGACCAGGATCGTCTGCCAAAAATTCCTCTTCAACTGGTTCTTTATCATTTTTCAGTTGGACCAAAAGATCTTTAGGCACCTTAACACACTGCATTAAATGCTTGCGCATTTTTGTTGAATTGAAGAATTTCCATTTTGTTGTGCAGTGTTTGCAAATGCTCTTGGTTACTTTTCCTGTTTCATTACAGGTAATTCTGTAATTATTTTTGACAATGGTCTTTTCGGGTCTCATTGTGTACCTGCAAAAAGAGAACAATAAAAATTTAACAATTATCATAGTTTTATTTGGAGGTTATGCTGCTCACTGATTGACCACTGTCCACAGACACACAAATATGAGTGTTGGACAGTTCGTGTGATTTCCAATGAAAGAATCCACAAAATTGCAATAAATATGATCTCTCTGCGATACACGTAAGACGTTTTATACACTCACCTTTAATGAATGTCCACAAAGCTTGACCCGCCAAAAGTGTCAACCACCACACCAACACGAACACGACCACACGTACGTCCGTGCCCTCTCGCAACACCCACCCAGTCCCGTCGGGAGCGCGGGAAGAGAAAAGGGTGGGGGTGGGGGGACGGGGACGGGCGCGTAGTTCAAACGAGTTCAAACGATGTACAAATAGAAAAAAGCTGCTACAAGAACGTTTAAATCTTGTAAGGGCATGATTTCAATCATCATTGGAATGAACATTTGTGTGTCAAAATCACATATGTTTAAAAACCAATGTTTTGAGCCGTTTTGAGCATAATCTGGCTTAAAACAACAAAAATCCCCAAAAAACAGTTTTTTACTGTTCTTTACTCGGTTTTTTACTAGTTTTTTACTTTAACCTCAGTAACCCGGTTTTTTTGGATCTCTAGGAGAGGGGACAAGGGAGGCTGTGCGCCGGCCCTGCGTAACGAATTCAGGTGGCAATGACACTGCTTTTGTTTACGCGCGCTGGCGAAGGAAAGACTTGTCAAAAATGCGTCTGCGTTCAGTGATACAGATTAAAATGATATTTTCCGTGTTGTTGAATATTTGAAAATAGAAGGAATGTGGGAAAATGTTACAATTGGGGCGTACCGCAAATAAAACACCATCGCTCCTATCGCCTTAACTTGGAGGGATAGGAAAGGGGAGATGGTATGGTGTCCTAATGCACTGTAGATATATGATATATTGAATTGAAAACATACTCATTTTTTTTCAAGTACTGCCGTTGTTCTCGAACAAAAAACAACCGTGCAATACTTGTTTGTTAGCTACCAGCTAGCCTCAGGCTAGTAAAGCTCAGGGTGGTAAAGAACGAGTCAAAAGTAAACATGCTAGGGAGAAAACCGCCGGAAAGTGAAACAAAAGTGGTAAAACTAGGCGAAAGTAAACTAAAGTATTAGGAAAGTGAGCGGAAGTGAAAAAAGTTGGGTGGAACTGGGAAAAAAGTGAAAAAGTGCAGTTAAAATGGGCAAAAGTGAAAAAAGTGAAGTAAAAGTGGTCAAAAGTGAAGTGAAAGTGGGTAAAAGTAAAAAAAAAAATTAGGCAAAAGGTGAAAGTGAAAAAGTGAAGTAAAGGTGAAAAAAGTGAAGTAAAAGTGAAAAAAGTGAAGTAAAAGTGAAAAAAGTGAAGTAAAAGTGAAAAAAGTGAAGTGAAAGTGGGGATAAGGGCAAAACCACAAAATCGGAGACCTGGTCATGGCACTTTTTTTTTCACCGAAACTGACCGAAAAAAATGTTTTGGGTATCCTCGATGGTTGCCCTGAACGATTCTAACACACATTTATTTTTATATGAATCCAGCTCTTGTAAAAAAAAAATCGAAATTGCCTCTTTAGTCTGGTGAAGTTTGACCAACCATTCAGGGTCTACTTCAGCCGTAAATATTACGAGTTTGATGCATGCTACAGAAAAAATGAAAATTGGTTCGTGTTCGGGACATTACTGGGAACCGGAAACCACTTTAGAATTTTCGTATCGCACAGTAGTTACGGAGAAAAGATCAGAGAAAGTTTTTAGAATTTGTGTGTCCGTCCGTCACAAAAATGTTCGTTTTGTTTATCTAGGGCCGTTGCCCTTCGTTTTTTTGACTTGAGCTTTACCCTCTATCAATTATTCGCGATGATGAACATTTTTGGTCAGAACATGTCTTGCGTT